CATCCCTGTGTGCTCCTGCACGGACTCCCTTCTTCAGCAAGTGGCCATAGCAACTTCTTTTTTTTTTTTTTTTCCCCATTACACAGCAAATCCTGCTTACTGAGTCAGCTCTCCGAGTGCACACCAGGCGGCTGGATTTTGCTGTGTCACGGTACATTTTGCTGTGTCACTGTTTGAGAGAGCCCATTAACCCCTGGGAGCAGGGAAGGCTGGTGTTCCCGGGGTTGTGTCTCCCCTGCGGAGCTGCCAGGAGCTGCTGGCCTGAGCCCAGTGTCTGAGGGCACTTCCCACACGGGTTCAGGAGAGCTGACTTGGCAATCCATGACTGCCTGTGTAACGAGACATTTCTGACCATAAATCTGTTGGCAGAACATGCTGTTAAATCTATAAAGAGGAGAAACCTGCCCACCCCTTCCCTTATCCCATATGCAACACTAACTTCCTGCTGTTGTTAACCATTTATCTTCACCATCTGCTGATTAAGCATTTTCTCAGAGGTTGGGCTGGGCAGACAGAGGCTTTTAAGCCCAACAGGAACTATTACAACTATCTTGCCTGAGGCTACTTGGTTCACCTTTGCTAGAAATCTCCTGGGCAGTTTCACTGGTGGCTGTAGCACCAGTCAGCCACAGTTCTCTGGAAGGATAGGAGATCATAGGGCTTCTGGTAGGAATGTCAGAGACCACAGGTCTGACGCTTCAATGAGGTCCAAGCAAAATCTCCAAGTGACCTGGATACGGACTGGGCCCTGCTTTCCTGTGCCCACTATGCCCAGAGCAAGTTGCTCTGGGCAGTTTGTTCCTTCTGCTCAGAGCACACACCTCCTTCCCCATGCATTGCTCTCAGGTGTCAACATCCCACTTCTCTTCTAAGAGACGGTCCCTCACAGATCACTGACAGCACACTTGGTGTCATTAACCTTCCCGTACTGCATAGCAACAGCACAGCAGAAACAAAGCAAGTCCTCCCTGCAGGGCACTGGATGGAGCCAGAAATGCCCCAGGCCAGGGACTGCAAAGATGATGACACACCACTTTCAGTTCTCCTTCCATCTTGCTGCAGAGCTTTTGGGCCTTTCTGGAGAACTGGGCCCAGTCTCACAGCTGCTCCATCCCAAGTAACCTTGATAGCTAGAAACCAGATGGCTTAAATAAGTTATGGGGCACAGCTTGACTGCCTGCATCTAAGGAGAAGCTCACAGTGGAGGTGAGCTGCAGTTAGGACCTTATCTGCTATGGAGCAGATCATCCTGAGTGCCATCAAGCAGCACGTACAAGACAACCAAGGGATGAGGCCCAGCCAACATGGGTTTAGGAAAGGAAGGAGGTCTTGCCTGACCAATCTGATCTCCTACTATGACTGGGAGACCTGCCTAATGGATGAGGATTCAGTCTACCTCAACTTCAGCAAAGCTTTTGACAGAGTCTCCCACAGCATCCTCCTGGAAAAGCTACCAATCCACAGCTTGGACAGGTGCATCCTTTGCTGGGTTAGAAACTGCCTGGATGACCAGGCCCAGAGAGTGATGGTGAATGGAGCTGCATCCAGCTGACATCTGATTACCAGTGGTGTCCCCCCAGGGATCAGTACTGGGCCCAGTCCTATGCAGCATCTTTACTGACAACCTGGGTGTGGGGTTTGAGTCCACCCTTAGTAAACTCATGGATGACACCAAGCTGGGGGGGTGTGTTGATCTGCCAGAGGGCAGGAAGAAGCTGCAGGAGGACCTGGACAGGCTGGGTCGATGGGCCGAGGCCAATGGCATGAAATTCAACAAGACCAAGTGCAGGGTCCTGCACTTTGGCCACAACAACCCCAGGCAGCACTTCCGGCTGGGGGAAGAGTGGCTGGGGGGGGGCCCACCAGAAAGGGGCACGGGGGGAGTGGTTGTGACAGCTGGTTAAACATGACCCAGCTGTGTGCCCAGGTGGCCCGGAAGGCCAATGGTATCCTGGCTTGTATCAGGAATAGTGTGGCCAGCAGGAGCAGGGATGTGATTCTCCCCCTGTACACAGCACTGGTGAGGCTGCACCTCAAGTCCTGTTTCCAGTTCTGGGCCCCTCACTTCAAGAAGGATATTGAGGTGCTGGAGCAGGTCCAGAGGAGAGCAATGGGGCTGGTGAAAGGACTAGAGGGAAAGTCTTATAGGGATGGGCTTAGGGAGCTGAGGTTGTTTAGCCTGGAAAAGAGGAGACTCAGGGGGGACCTTATCACTCTCTTCAACTACCTGAAGGGAGGTTGAACTCAGGTGGGGGTCAGGCTCTTCTCCCAGGCAACTAGTGACAGGGTGAGAGGACATGACCTGAAGCTGCACCGGGGGAGGTTTAAGTTGGATATTAGGAAGCACTTCCTCACAGAAAGGGTGATCAGACATTGGAATGGACTGCTCAGGGAAGTGGTGGCCTCCATCCCTGGAGGTGTTTAAGGAAAGGCTGGATGTGGCACTTAGTGCCATGGCCTAGCCGATGTGATGGTGTTAGGTCATAGGTTTGGACTTGATGATCTCAGAGATCTTTTGGAGTCTCAATAATTCTGTGATTCTGTGATCCCTTGTGACCAGCCCAGGAGAAACTGAAGTTTCAAGATTTGGAAGGAGATGCATTGGCTCCATGTCCTGGGCAGTGTGGTTATGAGCCAGGACTTCTACCTGGGAAGAAGTATCCTACCCAGAATGGCAGTGACATGACAAGGCACCATCTCTCACATCCACATCTACCTCAACCCTGAATGAAAGGAAGGAGGAGGAACTTTTGGATACATCCTTTTGAGTGCCTGCAAGCATGCAAACTCTGGGAAGAAGGTAGGCAGGCAGGGGACAAAAGCACTGGCCTGAAAGCAACCAGGAAGGAACTAGGTGCATTACTGGAGCTGCAGAACAAAGATGAAAGGACCAGGCCTTGAAGGTGGGTTTTTTTTCATATTACTTAATAAAATGAATAATATTCTTCATTTTCATATTCTTATATATTTCCTACTTCCCTCCACTAGAACTAAAGGTTCAATCTGTGTTCCAGCTTCCCATGTCAGAATAGGACACACTGAAAAGGACAGGAAAGGTGAGATTTAAGGAGCAATGCCAGAGGAAAAGGCTCATTTTGGGGCCATCCCTGTGGCAAAATGGCATCAATGTCTTCAGGAGGGGCTGGCCATGAAGCCTGATGCTCTCATGGACTCTGCACTGGAGCCCTCTCTCAAGGTACGTCACACTTGCTTCAAAGAGTCACACATCCTGATATATTTATTTTACCTTACAGAAAACCAAGCAATTCAGCAGCAAGCTGTCTGCAATGGCATGGGGGTAAGAGTGGAATGTGTTTTTTAAAGCACTGTTGCTTTAAAAGACAAAGAAAGACAGGAAAAGTCTGGCTGAGTCAGCGTGGAAACGCTGAGTAATCCTTCCTGAGTGCTGCACCACATGCCAGATGTCTGCCTGAGACAAAAAAAAAAACAAAACAACAAGAAAAAAAAAACAAGTGTAGAAGCACATTTCTTCCAGGACATCCTTCTAACCTACAGCACCAAACCCAGCTGTGCCAGGTGTAGGTGCAGGGACAGGAAGACATGCAAGGCAGGTGGCTTGGACCACAACATCCACCAGCAAAGCCCCAGAGTAGACACGCTAGAGGGGACAGATGGACAGAAGATGCCTTTGCCTTCCTGCCCAGGCTCTGTCTCCCTACCACCTCATGCACGGCTTCAGTTTGGGATTTTCTCTCCCCTACAGTGGCAGAGGAATGGTGGCTTTAAGAGCCCAGCTCTTTGGGTTGAGCACAAGGTATGTTCTTCTCCGAAGTACAGCTGGCAATGCATCGTCCATCCTGGCCAGCCCTGCTTGCAGCAGCTCAGCCACAGCTGGAAAAGAAGGGCTCAGCTTCATCTGCTGGCTGCCTCTGACCACTTCACCAGACAAAACAGCAGAGCAGCCAGATACTGGGAGAAGCACCTTGTCCAACCCTCTTTTTCCTAATCAGAGAAATTCTTTGCTTTTGAAAGTCTCTGCAGGCTTTCTCGGTTTCCCTCAAGTCTTGTATCACATCCTTTCAGTCCACCAGCTACCCCAGCCTTCAGGGCATCTAGGGGGTGACATGCTATTCTCCGAAACTGCCCTGCACACAGCTGTGCTAATAGCAGGAGCCAGTTGTCACACAAATCACACAGTATTTTTTCCATGCACCAGGAAAGTGGGAATGCTCCTTTCTCTGTGCACCAGCACAGGCACACCTGTGCTGGCTCCGTGCAAAGGGACAGGGCTTATTCCCCAGTGCCCAGCACTCTGCATGGGCAGTTCTGGTGCGTGCATGTATCACAGCAGCCCCCCATGCCCAGGACTGGCACACACCCCAGGGTCCTGCTGCCAGAGACTCTCTGGAGATGTGTACAGTCACGGGAATTAAGATGTTTATACCTGACTTGTGCTAGGGCAGATGAGGATGGGTGTTCTCTTACCTCTCCAGGCAGGGTGCAGCCAGGACACAGACTAGGGAGAGGAGGCTGCCCACCCTGCCCCAGGCACTGCTCCTGCAAATCCACCCCTCCTTGTCCAACCCCGCTACCCTCAGCACAAGGAGCAGCTCCTGCAGCACTTGGGCTCTGCCTGCCCACAGGCACCGCGCCGAAAGGGTTACAGAGCCGGGAACTCTGCAAGGAGAAGCTGTGGGACATCCTCTTGTTTGTGCTTAGTAGTCAAAACTCATCAGGTGACTTCCTTCTGGTCCCTCGGGGCTGCAGGGAGAGGACAGGGTGGCAGCCAGCGCCGGGAAAGGAAATGCAGTCGTGTTGCAAGAAGTTTTGCACACACTGAGGTCAGCGGTTCGGCTGCTCACGTGGCCCGGGCTGTATAAAACTGGATGCGGGAGACGGGCTGCCCAGCTCAGAGGCTTCTCTGTCCTGGGAGCTGAGAGGAAGGAGCCAAGCACGAGCAAGAAGGAAAAAAAAAAACCACAACCAACCAAACAACAACCAACCAAAACAACAGGGAGGAGTGAAACGAAGTGGGAAAACATGGAAACTTCCCAGACGCACAGCTCCGAAAGGTGAGAATGGGACGGGAATGAAAAGGGAATTCTTTGACAGAAGAGTATTGTGTTTCTCGCCCTGCTTTTAGGTCTGCTGTGCTTTGCCTGTTTCTGCTATGCAGGGAATGGCATGCTCCTGCTTTCGCTTCTGGATGGGGTCTGTCTGTCTTCCCTGCTCGGGACAGCACTTGGGATGCTGGTGCTCCCCCTCTTCCCACCCATGGCTCTCGGGAATCCTCTGCTTTTCTTCCTGCAATCCCCCTTTTTATTCCTGGAGAGCTAAAATCACTTTTTCCGGAGGAGAGCGACAACCCTGACATCTGTTTTGCTGCTGTTCCTCAGCATGTCCAAGGACCTGTCAGAACTGATGAAGGAAGCCACCAAGGAGGTGCACGAGCAGGCAGAGAACACTCCGTTCATGAAGAATTTTCAGAAGGGACAAGTGTCACTCCAGGAGTTTAAGGTACTTTGTAGCAGAATTGCTCAGGGATGGGATTTCCTTGCCAGGAAATAAACTGCTAGGTCGGGTGGGCTGCAGGGGGAATAAAGGGGGAGGAGGGGGATGGTGCAAGTAAGGAGGTGCTGTCTGGTATCAGCATCTCCTGGGCAAGACATGATCTTCCTCAAACTGCAGCACAGTAAGATCTTACAGGCTCCTCTGGCAGAAGGCAGGGCAGAACTGTGTGCATCACGATGGGCAGCCAAGCTGAAACTGGATAAAAAGACAAAGAGGCTGATGGGATTAATTCAGTTGTTTTTCTGTTTTCTTCATAAATGCCTGCATATTGATTATTGGCAATGATAGCTGAAGGAGACATGGCTATGTGCAGATACTTGAGTTGCTGAAACACCCCAAAGAGGGAGAATACTAAATTTACAGTGCTCTAACCAGCTACAACTAGAAATAGTGATGGTATTGTGAGAAATTGAGGATGTGGGATCATCTCTGGCACTGAACTTTGCAATGTTTCCATTGTCACTTGGCTTATACCAGAGCTGAGATCATGAACACTAAGAACTCAAAGGCAGACTGAGTTTGAGCAGGCTATGTCTGCCTCTAACAGGTAGGAGCCTGTTGTTTTTCTTAGGATAAAAGAGAAACATTTGCAAATATTAGTCTGCACCTAGCCAGGCTTGATACATGATTCCTGGGATCCAAGCCACATAACAAAGCGATGAGCAAAAACAAAGCACACACCTTGGGCCAGAAATTCCTGGGAGGCTACAGGATGTGACGCCTGGGCTTGCAAATAACAGCTAGCAATCCAACCTGTGGTTTAATTACTTTGTTGTTGAACTGTTCCTTGGCAAATAAATCCACAAGAGCAGGAAAAAGCCTACTTATTTCTGACAGGTGGCATTCAGGGTACTTAGTCCAGCAGAAGTTTAATCTCAGGTGCTAACTTCCTGCTGTTAGAACTGCAGCACAGGTGAGGCAGTGAACTTTGAGACAAGCTGGCAGTAAGGTTTCTTCAGGTTTTGAAGAAAACAACTCAGTTTATTAGAAGATACTTACATGCTGTTAGGGAGAGTCAGATGTGACGTGGGTTTTAAGATGTAATGGCAGTTTTAAAAAGCCACATTTCCCATTAAACCACTATCTGCTTCTGAAAACAACCAGTCAAGTTGTACTTTCTTATTTGTTAGGCAATGTTCCCATATTTTATTTCATTTCCAGTAAGCCGGATGGCAGGTTATTGTTTAAAAACCTCTATTTTTATTTACTCTCTTGGCAAAGGTATATATATCTGTGCTGACACATGACTCCCCAGGATCTATTTGCTTCCACAACCAAGCCACTGCCTGTGTGTTTACCAAAGTCCTCTTTGCTGACACACTGGGGAAAAGTTGAAACACGACTCTTTTACTGCAGAACTGATTGCTTTGTTGGAGAGTAAACTGCTTTCTCTCCTGCCACCTTAATTCCGTTCTTCCCCGCCTCTCCCACCTCCAAACCTGACTCACCTGAACTGCAACACCTTCGTGTTTTACCCTTTGTGGCTGATAAGGGATTCCAGTGTAAGGAAGGGGTTGGGTAAATACGTCTACAGCCTCTGAAAACAGAAAGCCTGGGGAAGGAAAGAACACAGCTAGATTGTTTTAGGCCACGTGGAAAAGCTGGCAGAGAAAATAAAGTATCACATAAGCTAGGGAAAAACAACAACAATGGTTTCAAAATAGAGAGGAGAACACACACCCTCAGAGCACTCCTTCACAAAGGCATCTTTCAGAGGCAGGCTGTGCTTCCAGCCCCCTTTTATCTTGTCTGCTGGGGGCAACTGAGGGGGCAACCCTGTTCACAAATCTAAATGAGGAGAGCAGTGGTGCCCCAGCTCCCAGGACGGTGGGATGCCAACATGATGAATACACTGAAAAATGAATGGGGTGTGTCATCATCTCACAGGGCCCCACAACGGGAAGCCACATCTTGAAGCATTTAGATTTGAACAATGCACCAGAAAATATACCTTAGGGAATACCCTCTCTATTGACTGAGAGAGGAGATGAATAGACCAGGCATGATTTAATAGGACTCCAGTTTCTATTAAATGAAGCTGCAAGACCTTTAACTTCAAGGTGAAGGCAGCAGCTTTTAAGAGCAGATAAGACCAATATCTGCTGCAAAGGGCTTAGGTCTTACCTGGTGCTGCCTCAAGCAGAAGGGGAAAAAGGCTAAACAGTGTCTCACTGCACCTTGCAACTCTGTTTTCCACATGGGAAACCTGCAACACCAAAGATGTGCATGACTCATCCCAGGTGTGCCCACGAGTAAACTTTTTGTTAATAGGATTTGTCCCCCCAGACCTGAAGAAGACAGATGCACCTGTAGCTCATCATCTTCCTTCTCTTTCAGCTGGTTACAGCATCTTTGTACTTCATCTACTCTGCTCTGGAGGAAGAGATTGAACGTAACAAGAACAACCCAGTTTATGCCCCTGTGTATTTTCCGGCGGAGCTGCACCGGAAAGCTGCCCTGGAGGAAGACTTGGAGTACTTCTATGGCAGCAACTGGAGGGAAGAGATCCCGTGTCCTGAGGCTACTCAGAAATACGTTGAGAGGCTCCACCATGTGGGCAAGAACCAACCAGAGCTCCTGGTGGCCCATGCCTACACTCGGTATTTGGGAGACCTGTCTGGGGGACAGGTGCTGAAGAAAATTGCCCAAAAGGCCCTCCAGCTGCCCAGCACTGGAGAAGGGCTGGCTTTCTTCTCCTTTGATGGAGTCTCCAATGCCACCAAGTTCAAGCAGCTCTATCGCTCCCGCATGAATGCCATTGAGATGGATCTTGCCACTAAGAAGAGAGTCTTGGAGGAGGCCAAGAACGCATTCCTG